CATAACTCATAAGTCATAAATCGCTGGCACATAATCACCAGCTTGAATGCACCAGTATGGCTGGCTGGTTTGCAGGCGAATAAGAAAAAAGGACATTGTCTGGCATGCCCTAGTATTTGTATTGCAAGACGCGTGACCATAGCCGTAGCCAGTCAAGTCGCTGTGTGTTCCAAGAAAGGAGCGATTCCATACGCCTACCGTACTCCGCCGATTACGGGGGCAAATCCAGAAGGCTCTCTTTGTTGGTGATGAAGTATCCCTTTATCATCTAAAATCCTCAAGTTAGCACAAGCACATGACGGGCCAGGTAGTGGCAATGTGTGCCCGTGGTGGCTTTATGAAAGCTAGTCAACTGTGAAATTTGGCCCTCCTTTTACTCTCATTGCAGTCATGTGCTGTCACGATGCTAATTTGGCGCTGTGCTGTCCCTCGATGTTTGCCTTCTTTCACATGCGGGCTATGTGTGCATCTGTCTCGCGTGGCGCGGCGTTTCCGCCGCGATGCGACAACTGACGAATGGGGAGGAAGTCGTGCGACATTGCCTGCGGCGCATTCGAATCTCATTATGCTCGGGATCACGTCACTTCAGACGTTCTCCTCGAGATGAAATGAATACTCGCTCACAGTCAGAATCGCGTTCTCGTTCATCAATCGCCATACGATGCTGAAGGTCGCGTGGTGGTGGCCCTTGGGAAAAAGGCGTTAAATTCACTGCTGTCAGCTCGCATGTCATAAGTGCAATCTTTTCATGAATGCGTAGGTGTAATTATCCCTTCATCCATCCAACGGTGTGCAGCACGCCAGCGCCATCGGGCTCCTATCGAATGTGCGTCGGCTCTTGCCATTCCGCTACTGCACTGACGTCAGCGTAATTGGCGACTGCCAATCTTCAGCTCTGAAGTTCTCAGAAAGCACACATCGACTGGGCTTTTCCGAGAACGGCCACCGTATGCGGCTTCGAGGCCTTTTGCGTGCTCCGTGTGGGTGTGTGTATCTGCAAGTCAGTGTGAAACGCGACCGCATCAATAATTTGTTCTCTATTCATTAGCGGAAATTGCGAGCGTCAACCCGAAAATAGCTGTGGTTGATGAGTTATGACGGTGAGCGGAAAACGTGAGCTTTCTCACCTCCCCACTACCTGAAAGTTCCGCAGAATCAGCCTAATGGATGCCTGTTTCAGTGGTCAAGCTCGGGCGATGAAACCGACTCAGAAGCATCAACGAGCCAGGCGCCTTCGACGATTTTGGCACAAAGTCAAGCAAAATACGACTTTCTGATGCTTCTTCATCGCGTTGTAAGCGAGAGCACTGTTTGTCTGATGAACCACGAGAGACGTCAAACGTTGGTGATGATCGACCGACTTGCGTTCCAGGTGAGGCTAAGTAATTTTTTCAGTCATTTTTGGAGCATTATTTCTAATTCAAGCCATCCTTTTGGATGCCAAGAGCAAATTCCAGTAGACTATCCCAGCTGTCGAAAGCGTTTCAGTTTTTATGTTAATGGCGCTGTTCTACTAGAAAAATAAGGCCTGGTCGCGTCCTAGGCGCTATCGCAAGATACGGGGGCATTATTGTGGCGATGCATCTCGGAACGCGTAATAATCTCTTTCCGGTTGAAACTGGAGCTAAGTTTTAGGAGAGAAAGAGAGGAGACTCAAAAGAGCGCGATAAACTTTCATTTTTTCCGAAACTCCTGTACTTCCTTAGGCTTAATCTAAGAGGATGTCTCTATCTTGCGATAGCGCACACGTCCCAAATACGTAGCCATAGTTTTTTTTTCTTTTGATCAGACAGATTTAGAAGTCCTGGTGAATGCACGAGTTTCAAACTGTCACTTTCAGGTGTCTTTGAGTATCTACAATCCACAGAACACTGTTGCCGGTCATACACCACGAACGACACTTTTTTACCTCCCACGTAACACAACGCAGTGGATACCGGTAGTCTGATCAATCGATGTAATAACTCTAATAATTCCTAATAATTCTAATAATCGTGTTTGTCTGAGCGCCTCTAATCGGGTCTGTTCACGTTCGATTAGCGGACGTGAGCGCGCTGTGCGCGCACGCAGTGCGACGTTGAGTCGTCGATATCGATTGGTTAGTCAGCGCACTCGCTCTTCCATCTTCCTCGCGTAGAGTGTTCGTACTTTTCCTGTCGTCGTCTATTCCTCGTCCTCCTCAGACCGAATAGCATACGCGGTCGTCGTTCAGCGTTGTTGTACTGTGCCTCTTCAAATTTCTCATCCCTCCCTTCATAGTGCTAAATCGAGTACACCGACATGTCACTTGTTTGAATACGAATGTACTCTTTATGTTTGTTATTATTAATATGATTTATATATACATATATATGCACATGTGTGTATTACCTGCTGGGATTATTTCCTGCTATACTCCTCCTCTACTCCTCTTTGTTCCTTAGAGCCTTTAGTGACTATGTGTGTGTGTTGGTTCACGAAAACGATTCAACGACTTGGCAAGGTGCTTGGCAATTGGCACTCCTGCACAATTCTCTTCGCCTATGTGTAATCAGTCTCAGAGCTCGTATCAGTTCGTTAGTGATTCGTTCTGTGTTTTCGTCATGAAATTTAAATTTCTTATACAGGCAATAGGCCCTAATCCCCTCCCCAACAGAGATTCTCTAGTGAATTTCCCATAGTAGATTGTTGAGTAGCGTAATTAGTGATTAAGTTGGTCAATGGCAGAGATAGCCGTGTGGCCTTCGCAGGGTCATCCAATGCGGCGGTCTCCTTTTGCCAAATATGACCACATGTGATGTACAAACGCGTGTAAAGTTCATCGGCATATTTATTTGGCCTAGTGATAGCATTTTTCGATGATCCGGTCTAAATGTTTCGGGCAATGTATCAAATCTCTTTTACTTCCTCTCTCTCTTATTCAACCGTACTGTTATCGATTGAGTACGCAAATTGTACGCGCGTGTGCGCGCGTGTGTTTCTGGTGCGCGCTCGTTTCGGGACATTTCGCCACGTGTCCAGCACACCTCAACAGATCGAGCAGAAAGCATACGGTTGGTGTCGTCAACTCCGAAACGAGCACCACCAAACACATTATCATTCTTTCTTTCTACTATACATGTATCTGTCTATACTCTGAATCATTTCGGTTGGGTCGCTGACGTGTATGTTTGAATCACGCGGGAATTCAAACCATCAGTCAGCTCGTTGTATACTGTACAATCCGTTTCCTCCTTGTCGTCTCTTTCCGTGGGACATAGCTTCTCTTTGTATTGTTGTTCCCTGTTGAAAAAATAAAGAAAGCGAAATGGAAATAAACGATTGTGATTTGCGCTGTGCTTGGTTTTCCAAAGACACCTGTTGAGAAGTATCCGAACTATCATTGAGGAAATGATTATCGAAGTATCAACATTGAGGAAAAACACATACGAGATATAGAGTGCGCACGGCTCTAGGCTGTTAAAACACGAAAACGGACGAGCGAAAGTTGCAGGAATTTCGCTTGCTTGAGTGATTAATTCAATAGTGAGCCATATAGAGAAATCAGGAATGATTAATGGAATCAACCTAGTTGGTGAAAACAAAGGAAAAGGGCAGGCTTGCAACTGATGGTACCTCTGCATTGCTTTAACCACCTTTCACTTGGTTGAACTTCTGCCGGGCAAACATTGGATCAGGCATGCATGGATGTGCCTGAGTGGAGACAGCTGGTATGAATCAACACAGCACTACAGAAACAGGGAGTCCATCCCCTGAATCCACCTGCGTCTCAGGGCAAGTACATGGTGGCTTTTGGTCCGCGATTTACCCCCTATCCGCCACCTGGGGTCGCGCCACGTAGCCTCGCCACCAACCGGCTCGAGATCTTTCAGTGAGAGAGGACCCTCAGTGAAAGAGATCCGTGGAACTCTGTGATAATAGAGCCAATATTTCACTATCCGTGAACTTCCGATGGGAAACTGTTTCGAAAATCACGAGAATGTGAGAAAAGAGAATATTGCGACTGTGCGGATCTTGCTACAGAAGGATTCAATGAGTTGCAAAGAACTTCATGTTCAAAGCAGAACTTACAAGAAGTTAGGAATACGGCTAAGCTGAGTAAAGGGGCATTCTTTCGCCTTTCTGGAGCTCATGGAGAAATAAATAGCATCTCCCAGACCATACTCTGGACCGTGCATCACGGACCTACCATAACCGGCGAATTTGGGTCCTTATCATGGTGTTACTTGCGAATGCCGTATTAAAGACTCCCATTGTCATTGATAGCGATATTGACTCCTTCAAAATAAATCAACCCTTATACAGCCGTGAATGCGATAAATGACATGTCGTAGGATAGGTCATGCCATAAATACAACAATGACGTATAAGTACGTGACGTATTGCAAAGATAGTTGACGCCACCTCAGCCATAAAGATCTGGCACAAAATTTTACCCATTTAGGTCACGAGGTCTTCTCTATGACGTAGGTATTCCGTCAGGAGGCCGTGTGTGTCAGGACCAAATACAAGCCATCTGCCGGCATAAGTTGACTTTGATCTCTAAGTGACTTCGCACCAGGTAGGAATCTAAAAGGAAGCATCAAAAGAAAGAAGAAAAAGACACAAAAAGACATGAAAAATTCAAAGAAGGGCATAAGTAAACACCGAGAGTTGTTATGGAGCACCTATTTTCATTGCCTGTCGCTGTACTAGGGAGCAATAATGTTTAACTTCACGAATATTGTTTGATGAAGAAGTGTTTCGTTCGTGAGGCGAAGGACTGTGATACTAAAACTGCGCTCCCTCATGACGCTGCCATCCAAGATCCGCCCTTATTCTGCGTAACAATCCACACTACTGTAAGTTAGATGAATTTGCTTATGTGATCAAGTAGGTCCTTAGTTTGGATAGCACCCTAGCACCCAACTAATAAATATACCAAATATGTACATTGTTTTTAGTACAACTTATATCTCAGAAAACCTCTTTCGCTTATTACACGTCTCAGCAGCTGGATTGCGTCACAATTTGAAGAAAAGTCCGAAAAAAAGTGTGAAAAGGGTGTGAAAAAGGTATGGCTTTTGTCTAGCGCAAGGGCTGCCTCCGAAAAAAAAACTACGTTTCCATAGCGCTTTCCCGGAAGGGAAAATACTGCTATTTTTTTTCATTGACGTTGGACCGTTATTTATAACGTCTGAGGACGAACGCAGAGCGAAGTACTCTGGTAAAAGTGAGGGTACGCCATTCAATTGACATGGACATTGGCACGACAGTTGTATGAACACAAAAATCTGATTTGCAGTGTACGCAAATAGTTAAGCTAAGGGAACGGGGAGTTGTGGGTAAACATCGTCAAATTTTTCGACCAATTTCCGTTGCTTTGTTTGTGCATATTATTGGGGTGCTGCGCATATATAGAATGTCGCCACCAGGTTTAGCTTCCACTGCATTCGGTTTGTGTCTGGAATCAGAGAATAGTACCTGAGCGTCATTCGAAAGAGGAAATGTAAGAGTTAGGAAAGCGAAATACCCATTGCACGTATTCTGTTTTTTTTACATGAACTTTTTTTTAAACAATGACTGACCAGAATTTCTGTCTATACTTCTATGTATTTCGTGAGAATGTTCTACGACATCTCGAGGGGATGAATTTAGCTCACACGGTCACGGCAGATCTTTCCGTAAACAAAAATGGACCTACACCAAACCATGCATTGGCTCCGAGAGAAAGAAAAACAATGTTTTTATGAAGTACATCAAAGACAAAAACTGCATTTTACGAAAAAAAAAACAGCCGCAAAAGTGCGAGACCAGGCTGAAACATTTCACTTCGCCGCCAAACAGCTCTGGTCACACTCCATCTATGTGCTGCGCATCCGAGTCAACGCGGCACGTTTTGAAGGAGAACAGTTCAGAGAGTACAAAAAATTCGGAATCTGGGTGTCCATCTTTACCTGCGCACAGTTACTACGATTCTTCGAGAAGGACGTCGAGTCTCTGCGTGAGGAATGGCGAAGCCTGGCACAATAAGGTAGTATCCATCTCTTCATCTGAGATGCCGAATTGTTGCTGTTCCAACAAATTTTGTGGTACGTCCAAAAGCGACATTTTCAATGCAACAACCTAATAGATACTGACACATCATAAAGCCTAGTAAACATAAGCCCAATGTTGTTCTCTCATACGCATTCCGCTCTACTTAAATCCTGGCTCTAGCGTTATTGAAGCCGCGGATGCTTTCATTATACATTGCGCCAAACGCGTGTTTCCCAAGAAAACAGAGCTCCACTCGTAGCGTTGCAAATACAGAATGGCCACAAACTACGATAACAATAGTGTATCGCGTACAATTTCGAGATTAAACGCAGGGGTTTTGAATGTAGCTTTCGCGTATTCGGTTCTATTATTAGGTTGGAAAGAAAGTTCTGCAACACTCTTTCCAAAATTTTCTTTTTTTCTGAAAAATTCATAGGTAACATTTATGACTACCAAATGATAGAGCATTCTCAAGGCTTCAATCCACGAGGTGGATATAAGTGCTGCAGTCAGTAGTTATCCAAGAAATTCAAAAAATCTCGACCACTAGCAAATCCGTACTCCGAGTCACTGTCTAGTACAAATGTCTACAAAACTATGGAATTCGTGTCAACTGCACAGTACATATCTGCAATAGCTTCAACGGGAATGCCGTTCACCCTGGAGCGTGTTTCACAGCGCAGTGCTTCGATCTTTTGATATTTTTAAGAGGCCAGCAGCGTCCGCACACTCCATTACAGGTAGGGCTCTTACGGAAGCTCCACTACAAATTCTTCGTTATGGGCACCATTGTGTAGGTAGAGGTTTAGCTGCAGAAGTCCAGAAGTTGGCCGAGGCAGCTCGTCAAAGCCACTCGTACCAGGGTCAAGCGTGCGTTGAGGAATCCTCGACACGTCACAGGGGGGGGGTCGTATTGGCCCGCTGGGGGAAGAGATCGGGCCGGATTGATGC